CCCCCCCCCCCAAATGCATCCACCCACTCAAATGCACACACACACACACACACATAGATGCACACACAAACACAGATTCATACACATACACAGAGAGAAAGAGATGTTAAAATCAACAACAATATACTCTACAAACAAACAACCACTCAACCTACCCCCCACCTCGAAACACACAGCCACCCAACCCCACCTCTCCCAAAATCCATAGCCATCCAACCCCCCCCCCCCATTCTCGAAAATCCCATCACCACCAACCAACCCCACTACCATTAGTGAAACTCACAACCATTCTCCAAAATTTATCATCACTATCAAAATAGAGAAGGTTGAGAGAGATAGTGAGAGCGATAGAGGGAGAAGGGAGGAGATGACAACTGGATCCTTCTGCTTTGGCTTCTCTTCGTCTTCATCTAGCGTTGGCTTCGTCTTTAGCAGAGAGAGAGAGAGAAACGACGAAAGAGATATGAGAGGTGAAAGAAAGAGATGCCCTTTTATATACTCAAACAAAAAAAATTATATTTTGTTACTAAGGAAAATCGAAGTCCAAATCTCATTAAAATGACTCGTGCGTGTTTTTTTTTTGTTGTTTTCAAAAACATTCTTTTGGATGTTTCTATATTTTAGCATTGTTTATAAAGTAGAGCAATTAAAAAAAAAACATTCGCCAAATATATTTTTATTTTTTTTCAAGTCATAAAATAAAAATAAAAGCAAAAAAAAACATAAATAGGTGATTACCAATCGCCACCTTAATGTTGTATGATTTCGAGCATCATCACTATGGTTCGTACGTCTAAAAAAAGGGAAGGCTATGGTACCAATTCGGTATTGTACTGTAAAAAAGGTGTTCTTGTAAATTTTTTATTATTAAATATTACTTACTAATAATTTTACTTATAAAAATTATACTTTTTCTTAAAGATCGTAATTTAATATATAATGGTGATAATTTTGTCTCTAAATATAATAATATTACCTTAAAGGATTGTAATCCCACCTCAAGAGATTGTAAGGTCATTTCACATTTAGAGATGGTATTTTTACCATTATGTTCCGTTTAGTAGAAATGATGGAAAGTAGGAAAGATGAAAAATAAGAGGTATATATTTTATATCATTTAAGAAAGGAAAATAGGAATGATATATTTTTTATCNGCCCTTATGTTGTCTTTCGTTGCTTATTTCGTCAAAACTCACCATATTAAAATTAACGAAATAAGTAACAAAAATTAACAGAACGGTCACATTATAATATTTTTTATACATTAAAGAGTGCAACGTAAAAAATCTAATCTTTAAAAGTATAAAGCAAAAATTTTAAAAAATTTTAGGATACAAAATACAATTGCCATTTTACTTCAACAATGAGTTAAATATATAATTTGACGTCCGGTCACACTAAATTGTACCTTTTGATATTATACATTTAGTTTTCATTAAATAAAATATATCACGTATAAAATATTTAAATTTTAATATTTATGGTATTTTAAGATTTTATCAATTGTTGCAAATTATATAAATCAAAGCCAATGATATGAATTAATTTTTGGCACGATATCCCCTTTATCTTTGCATGCAATAGTCGTGACTATGTTTAGTATGCGGGATTAAATCTTAGGAATGGATATGCATTCCTTGGTAATGTTTATTTCTATGTTTGGTTGGCAGAAATTAAAATTCCATAAATAATGGGATTAGACATTATTAAATTTATCATGATATTTCTCATTCCATTCCCACCCCCAGGTATGCCAAATCCATTCAAAAAAAAAATTATGTTCTTTCCCTTCCCGATTGTCGGCTCTTGCTGCTGACACCTTGCTCTGCTCGAATCTCTCTTTTCTTCTTCTTTCCTCACATTTTCTGTTCCTCCTAAATTACGCCCATGGCGCCTCACCCCTTTCCTCATCCCTTACCCATCATTTTTTGTCTCTCCCTCATCTCTCTACGAAGAAAAGGG